GGCTTTCCCTTTTCATCGAGGAGTTGAAGGGAGGCCGTCTAGGAGGTGACGTCTTCTGAGAGGGCTGTAACCAGAGAGCAGCAGCCTGTGTGGCAGCTAATGCTGTCTGTTTAGATGGTGATTTGTGGGAAACCACGATGGGTTTTAAGCGCGGTGATGATATCTTATTTACACTTTGCTTGTGCTAATCGTATACTGCTGTGACGAATGCCTGTGAGAACTAGCTTAAAGGAGGAGAACTGGGTTTTAGTCTGCAGTTGGCCGCCTCCATTGTTTTCAGCCTGTAACAAGGCAGCCTGTAACAAGGCAGGCACATCATGGTGGAAGGCGGGAGGATAGCTGCTCACCTCACGCCTGGCAGAAAAGGAACAAGGGACAAGTCACCCTTGAGAGGCACAGCCCCAGTGATCTGTGGCCAGCCACCAGTGGAATAAACTGTTGGTCAAGACAGAACCCTCATGAGACAGCCCCCTCACTAAAGGCTCACCGCTGAGCACGGCTTCCATCAGGGACCAATCCCTAAGCCCCGTATGTCCTCAAAAGCAGCTGCGATTTGGTCCCATTCCCCAAACCATGGTGTCTGGAAGGCAGGGTCAGCTGCAAGGTAGGTGTAGGAGCCTGCTGCCTCCCATGAAGCCATGACGTGTGTGAGGCCGGTGGCCAGGGCACCTGTCTGCATCAGCCCCTCCTCTGTCCTGGTAGTCTTGCTGGAACGAGTACCTGACGACCCGGATCGAACAGAACTTCGTGCAGAATTGTACCTGCCCCATTGCTGACTGTCCTGCTCAGCCCACGGGAGCCTTCATCCGTGACATGGTCTCCTCCCCAGAGGTCATCTCCAAGGTACCCCGTCCTGCCTGAGGCCCCAGAGGACAGGCTGACCTCCAGATGCTAGGAGCATGCGAAGCCTCCTGGAACTTCCTGATCTCCCACCATTCATAGCAACTTGCCTCTGCCCACAGTACGAGAAGGCCCTCCTGCGAGGTTATGTGGAGAGCTGCTCCAACCTGACATGGTGCACCAACCCCCAGGGCTGCGATCGCATCCTGTGCCGCCAGGGCCTGGGCAGTGGAACCACCTGCTCTAAGTGTGGTTGGGCCTCTTGCTTCAGCTGTAACTTCCCTGAGGTGGGCACCCACTCATTTCCTGCCTAGCACCTACACACACACAAACACACACACACACACACACACACACACACACACACGGGGCTTCCGTGTCTCCTGCTACCTGACTGAGTTGGCTGTGTCCTCACACTCCTCCCACCTAGGCACACTATCCCGCCAGCTGTAGCCACATGTCCCAGTGGGTGGACGACGGTGGCTACTACGATGGCATGAGTGTGGAGGCCCAGAGCAAGCACCTGGCCAAGCTCATCTCCAAACGCTGTCCCAGCTGTCAGGCGCCCATTGAGAAGAATGAGGGGTGTCTGCAGTAAGAAGGGGTACAGGGGGCTCTGGGAGCATGATGTGGGGGAGGCCGGCAGTAAGGAAGAAATTGAAGCTTACTGTGAAGTGCAGCAAATCCATTGCCCTCACTCACTGTCCCCCAGGGTCACCTCTTGGATTCTTCCACCCAGGTTTTAAGTTCACTGTGTTGGGAAGCCCAAATCAAGGTGTCCTTAGCAGTGCTTGAGAAGATGGGACCTTGTCAGTGTGCACAGTCCCTGGGCACCTGTATCCAGAGGTAGGCCCCACTGACCAGCTCGAATCCTCCACAGCATGACCTGTGCCAGATGTAACCATGGATTCTGCTGGCGCTGCCTCAAGTCCTGGAAGCCAAGCCACAAGGACTACTACAACTGCTCTGCCATGGTAAGGGGCTAGGCATGTCGGAATCTGAGGCTCAGCCAGTCAGGACCAGCTGCCGTTGGCCCTGGGACAGAGTTGTATGCCCTGAGAGTGGTAGGGCAGTCAGGAGCCTCTACCCAGGTGACCAAAGAAAGCCCAGGAAGAACTGGGCAGGGTGTTCTCGGCAGGTACCAGAGCAGAGCAAGGAGTGTTGAGTGGGCCTGCCCTGTGGCCAGGGACAACCCTTGACATTCTCACGTAAAGGAAGGCTAGTAAAGGGACTGTCAGGAGAATGACGTGACAGTCATCCTGGTGAATGTAGAGGAACCTTCTGAGAACCCAGCCTATTAGAACAGCACCAGCATCCTTTCCCTGTGTCCTTACCAGGTGAGCAAAGCGGCTCGCCAGGAGAAGCGGTTTCAGGACTATAATGAGAGGTGCACTTTCCATCACCAGGCCCGGGTGAGCAGTGGGCAGTGGTGGGCGGGGAAAGTCAGGGAGCTGGTGACTGCACTGGGAGGGCCAGCTGGAAGCCGCATGGCATGCAGCCCTCACAGGCTGGGACTGCACTGTCCTCCCATAGGAGTTTGCTGTGAACCTGCGGAACCAGGCCTCTGCCATCCACGAGGTGCCCCCACCCAAATCCTTCACCTTCCTTCACGATGCCTGCCGGGCCCTTGAGCAGGCTCGAAAGGTTGTAGCAGTGGGGGAGGCAAAGGAGAGGTATGCCAAGGGGGCTGAGTGGGCTTGGATGGAGGAGTCAGAAGAGATGGAGGTGGAGTTGCCTGGGACTCAGGCTGGATGCACTGACCTGACGGGGTCTCCTCTAGGTGCTGGCCTACGCCTGTGTCTACAGCTTCTACAGCCAGGACACAGAGTACATGGATGTGGTGGAGCAGCAGACCGAGAACCTGGAGCTGCACACAAATGCCCTGCAGATCCTCCTCGGTGAGCCTGGCGCACCCATGCCCTGCCATCCTCTCCCCTTGTGCTGAGCATCCCATGCTCTTCCAGACAGTTATCCAGGGCCCTTCCCTCCATCACTTTTCCTTTCCTCCCTTCCCTCTCTGGGATCTAAAGTCCATGGCATAGGGTCCTGCGTGCTTTTGGCAGTCTACTCCGCACCCTGCCCTTGGCAGGTGAGCTCCATGAGTTTTGACAACCATGCCTGACACTTGGGAGATGCTCCATAGACATTTGTGGGAGGAAGGACTGGATGGGAGAAGAGAGTGGGCCCTGTGCTTGCCCTCTGCAGAGGAGACCCTGTTGCGCTGCCAGGACCTGGCCTCCTCCCTGCGCCTCCTTCGGGCTGATTGCCTCAGCACAGGCACGGAGCTGCTCCGGAGGATCCAGGAGAGGCTGCTGGCCATCCTGCAGCACTCCACCCAGGTAGGGCCTTGCTCAGTCCTGCCTGGGGGTAGGAGGAAAGGGGTATGAGGAGGCCTGGGCCAGTCTGCAGTGTCACTGAAACTCCTGGGGTTTCTTACAAAGGAGTTGGTTTCCCCAGATCAGGGTTTTGGACCAGGTGCTCATCAGAATCAGTCAGCACTTTCTCAGACCACACCCCTGCATGTGGGGATCAGCGCAGTCGCTGGAGTAAGGGATCTCCAAGAGTCTTGCCAGCTCTGGTACACAGAGCCCAAACTATGAACCTTGTTCTTGGGTCATTTGCTGTCTTAGTACTGGGCAGAGAATGCTGGGTGCCCGTCACTGTCCCCTCCTCGAGCCTCAGGGAGGTGAACAGCAGGAGTGCTCGTGGGAGGCCGGCTCTCAGGAAACATCAGTGGAAGGAATGCCAGGCCAGAGGCCTGGTGCCCTCTGCTCTTCTGTTCCTCAGGCCCTCCTGTCTCCTTGTCAGGACTTCCGGGTTGGACTGCAGAGTCCATCCGTAGAGGCCAGGGAGGCGAAAGGATCCAACGTGCTCAGCAATCAGTGAGTAGGCTGGGCAGAACCTGGGAGAGGGCAGCAAGAATGCAGGCTTCTCAGGCTGAGTGGTGGCTCTCTCTAGGCCCCAGGGCTTCTCGGGGCTTGAAGCGGAAGAGGAGGAGGAGGAGGATGTGCCTGAGTGGCAGCAGGAGTTTGATGAGGAACTAGACAATGACAGCTTTTCCTATGATGAAGAATCTGAGAACCTGGACCGAGAGACTTTCTTCTTCGGCGATGAGGATGACGACGATGAGTCTTATGACTGAGGGGGACAGGAAACACCTGGAGCGCCCCAGGCAGGGCCACGGGTGGGGAGTTCACCCCTCCACTGTCATGTGAGAGGGGATTCCCAGTGTCTGCAGCACCTTCTGTTTACTGAATAAACTGCTTTTTCACATACGTCTTTGGAAGCAGGCTAGGCACTGCCTGGTGCTCCTGATAGCCACTCTTTCAATAGTGTGTGTGCGCACGTGTGTGCATGTGAGTGTATGCACATGCTGTGGAGGTATGTATGGAGATTGGAGAACACCTTTAGGGGGTCAGTTCTCTTTTCCATGTAGTGCTTGGGATAGAACTCATGTCTTCAGGCTCAGTGGGAAACACCTGCACCAGCTGGGCCATCTCACCAGCCTGCCTTCATCTTTACCACTTTCTTTAGACTTCCAGACTTTTCTATCCTCAGAAAAACCCCAAGCAGACTCATTTGACCTAAACTCTCAAAGGGAAGCACAGAGATGAGAAGAATGATGGCCCACCCACCTGCCCTCCTCCCATAGTTTTAAATGTTCCCCAGGGACCCAAAAGGCATGACAGGGTACCCTCCTTTTAGGGAGCACTTTAAAGGGTCTTTCTGTGAAGTGGGATGGAAAAGGGATGCTGTTTAGGACCTGTCCCACCCCTTCTGCTCTGGATTGTTTGTTGAGTCTAACTGTCCTGGAACTCACTTTGCAGACCACACTGACCTCTAATGCAGAAATCCACCTGCCTGTGCCTCCAGCGGACTGGGACTGAAGGTGTGCGCCACCACATCCGGCTAAACAAACCTTTTTTACTACTGAGACTGTGGCCGGAATGGTTCTGGAGAAGTGGGGGGGTCAGAGAGAAGGTTCAGCAGGTAGGAGCACTTGCTGCTCTTGCAGAAGTCATGGGCTCCGTTCCCGGCACTCACATGGTGGCTCAGAACCATCTCTAATGCTAATACCAGAGAATATGATGACCTCTTTGGCCTCTGTGGGTACCAGGTATGCATTCGGCTACATACATGCACGCAGTCAAAACACAAAAAAAAATCTTAAATTTTAATAAAGTTGAGTTAGGTCAGGTGCTTGGGTTACTGGAGGGAGCTTTCCCCCCAGGAGGATAAGCCTCAAAGTATCGATCGAGCATGGTATCCACCTCTCCTTCTGTGTAGTCCCACACCTGGATCCTCGAGCCATCTGCTGCACCCCGAATCATAGCAGAGAGCACTGGGGAGAGGGGAAGCGGAACTGACCCCATGCTCCCCACCATGCCCCCTGCCCCACTGGGAAAGGAAGAAACGGGTATGGGGTTCCCAGAAAGCCAGGAACAGGTAAGCCACCCCAGGCTGGGATACTCACCTCGGCCAGACTGTGGTCGGAACAGGCACAGAATTTGCTTACCAAGAGCTACTGCCCAGCCTAGTTCATAGCCAACACCCAAGGATGGCTGTGTCACCTCGGCCACAACCACTGGAAAGAAAGTCAGATAAGATTTAATACCTGGCACTTGTAAGGACAACGGGATGAGTGTATCTGCATGGAGGAGGGAGGACTACTTACCATCTGCCTGCCGCAGCCAGGCCAGGTCTTGCTCATGAATGAGCTGGTCGCCCCCAGCAGCCTCTTCTCCTGTGGTTAAGGGAAAGCTGGTCAAGGCTGTTCCCACCCTATCAGTACCCCGGAACCTTGCTGCCCTTAATATCTCCTCTGCTCAGGGAAGGCAGAGGGGGCAGGTGCGTGCTCCAGTACCTCCCAAGGCCAGCCCAGGAAAGGAGTCTATCAAAAGGGGTGAAGAAGGAACAGCCACAAGAAAAACCCAATCCTATGCAAGGTGGCACTAGGAATCCAAGCAACTGCGCTTGCTCAGAGGGTCAGGATCACAGCTTCCAGCTTGAATAAATGCTACTGTTCAGGACAATGAGGCCATGCTGATGGCAGAGCAGAAACACCTTGTCAAAAAAGTTCATTTGTGAGCTGAGGGCAGCAACACACATCAATAATCCCAGCCTCAGGAGGCAGAGGCTGGCAGACCTCTGAGTTCCATGACAGACAGGGACAGACAGACCCTGTCTCAAAAACAAAACAAGCCGGGTGGTAGTGGCACAAGCCTTTAACCCCTGGAGGCAGAGGCAGAGGCAGGCAGGTGGATCTCTGATTCTGAGGTCAGCTTGGTCAGCTGGAACAGAGTGAGTTTCAGGACAGCCAGGGTTATTCAGAGAAACTAACTCTGTCTCAAAAAGAAACAAGAAAAGAAGTAACAACAAGCTGGGTGTGGTGGCACTTGAGTGGCAGAGGCAGGAGAAGGGGGAGTTCAACATCTTCCTCTGCTGCACAGCCAGTCTGAGGTCACTGGGTTTACATGAGAAACCAGGTCTCAAAAAAGGAGCAAGAAAAGTAACAAGTGAGAAACAACAACAAAAAGCAGATTTGAAGGCTTTCCCCAGGCTACCGCACTCTATGGCACTCGGTTTTCTTTGAGACACTGTCTAACTATTGTAGCCCAGGTTGGCCTGGAACTCTACCTGCCTCAACCTCCAGAGCGCTGGGATTGGAACTGAAGGTTGAGGCCTATCAACCAAATGCACCATGAGCTTGCCAATCACAGCATAAACAGGTCCTTTTAAATCCCCTAGCATCTTTGCCTTGTGATTCTGTTTTTATTATTATTTTGGTTTTTCAAGACAAGGCTTCTCTGTAGCTTTGGAGCCTATTATGGAACTAGCTCTTGTAGCCCAGGCTGGCCCCGAACACACAGAGAGCTGCCTGCCTCTGCCTCCCAAGTGCTGCGATTAAAGGTGTGCACCACCGCCTGGCCTCTTTGTTTTTAAAAAGGTTCCCCCACACTTGCTTTAGACTCCACAGCCTATGAATCTGTTCTTGAGTGGGACAAAGAAAAACCACTTCAAAGTTTTCTGAGCAGAAATTTGAGTTCTAGGTACAACTTTGAAAGTGAGTGGCAGGGGTCCAGGCCAACCCATCAAAGCCTCGCTGGCCATATGCAATGGTGTATAGCTATATACCTACGGGTGTAGTAAGCATTGCAGCTCAGATGGAAAGGGATCCTGGCAGTCTGGAGCCAAGGAATACTAAGTGTTACAGCTCAGGTGGAAGAGTAACCTGGCAATCGGGCGCCAAGGAATACCACAGGTCACAGCCTAACAGCGTTCAGCCCTGCTCCATGGAGAGGTTTCCCAATGTAACAGCTCGGCTCTCGCAGGGGAGGGTCTCCCCAGCGTAGTATCTGCAGTTCTGGTCAGGTCCTCCCAAGTGCATCAACTCCGCTCCACTAGGGGAAGGTTTCTCCAAGTGTTACAGCCCTGCTCTGGCGAGAAGTAACTTCTCTCTGCTCCATTCCTGCGAATAAAGGTCTCACCCAAACCTCATTCATTTATTGGGAGGGAAGAATCCTGGAGAGTGGCTGCCTCTGCCAGGGTGGAAAAAGAAAAAAAATTGAACAGGTCTAGGCTTATATAGGGCTTCTTAGGAGCGGAGCTTTTGCAGGGAGAAGATTTTCGGGGTGGGAATTGGTTGGTTAGATCTCATCCTCAGGGATTGGTTGGTTTTCTGCTTAGTTGGTCAGAGGCAGATTTGACTCTTGATTTCAGGGCCAAAGTGTGTTTCTTTCACTGACCCTTTTCAGCCTTTTAGCTCTAATTTCAGTGCCAGGGCGTATTTCTTTTATTAAATTGATTCTTTAGCCACGGTGTGTTTCTTTGGCACTGGTTTCAGGGTCAGGGTGTATTTCTTTGGCTGATCCTTTTTCCCTACACTGGGTCTGGGCTCTCATTGGCTCTCAGTGTGCTGGAACTGGCATGGCCAGCTCCCGCCAGAGTGCTGGATGGGGTGTGTACTAGCAGGAGGTAAGCCAGGGCCTTCCTCAGCCAGTAACTTAGAGGTCCTAGCCTGCGGAGTCCCTCACCTACAGGTTTCCTAGCGTGCCGGTATCCTAGGCTGCAGGTCCTTTAACTTTCAAGTCCTGAACCAGCCAGTTCCTTAATCTAAAGACCCTGTAGCCTGCAGGTCTCCAGTCCGAGGGTCTCCAGCTCGGCCGCCTCACCTCGCGGGTCCGGCTCTGCAGCAGCCACGTGCTCAGAGAGCACCTTTCCATAGCGCCGCAGCCGCGATACGATCCGCGCATACAGTGCCTGGTCCTCGCGCCCACCGCGGATGCTCCCGCAGAAGTACACGGAGCAGCTGCCCTGCTCCGCCACCTCCGCCGCCATCGCCTTCCGCACCCCGCACCCGACGGCGCCAGGGGGCGCAGTCACGACCACGTGATCTGGAAATGCGACTCGCGGCGGAAACGGGGAGCGCCTTTTGCAAGCTCGCTCTTCCCGGATTGGCTCTTCCTGAGCCAACCCGCCCCTAGGCTCCTCCCCCGAGATCTGCCCCTGCCCAGCTCCCAGCTGCTCAAGCGGTCAGCCGGATGCCCTCAAACTCTGTAGTGGGTCCTTGGGAAGCTGTGATAGCTTCTCACTAATCTTTTCACAATTTGAAAAATGGTTAATTTGGTTTTTTTAAACATTTTATTGTTAGCCGGGCAGTGGTGGCACACACCTTTAATCCCAGCACTCTGGAGTGAGGCAGGTGGATCTCTGTGAGTTTGAGGCCAGCCTGGTCTACAGAGTGAGTTCCAAGACAGCCAAAGCTACACAGAGAAACCCTGTTGAAAAACAAAAACAAAAACAAACAAACAAAAAAATTCACCATGTATGAACTGTGATTTAATCAAATCCACCCCCCAGTCTCTCCCTTCCAATCCCTCCTCTATCCCCATACCAACTTTGTGTACTATTATTATTATTGTTATTATTATATTTTATGTGTGCAAGTGTTTTGTCTGTGCGTGTGTCTGCACTGTGGTGCATGTCTGGTTCCCCCAAGAGGCCAAAAGAGCACAAAGGACATCCCGGAACTGGAGGACAGATTGGTGAGCCCCCACACAGGTGCTGAGAATCAAGCCAGGGTCCTCTGGGAAAGCACTGAACCTCCTCCCCAGAACCCCTTAATTTACTACTCACTGAATCCATCGGGTCTTGCCTCTGTGTGCAGGGGTAAGGAGCTGTCTACTGGAGGAAGTACAGGCCGCCTCTCAGGCCTGTCTCTGTCTGCCCCAGCAGTCCTTCATTGTCAGCAACTCCTAGCTACTGTCATGGCTCCCCTTCTCCACACAAACTGGGACTTGGGCCAGCTTGATCATGGTCAAGCAGTCATGTGACCCCGTGTCACGTCCAGGAATCCTGTTTCATGACAGTCTGTTCCCTCTGTCTGTTACAATCTTCCCACCCACTCTTCTGGAATGACCCCTGGAGCTTGGAGGGAGGGGCTATGGCCCGAGGAGATGGCACCCTCATGTCATACACTCTGTATTAATCTGTATTAACTACCTCTGTATTGACCGCATATTAAAGCACTCTACACAGTACCAGTTGTGGGACTCCTCTGTTAATGTGGATCTGCTACAAAGATCAGCATGTCTGACGAGGGATGAGACATCACAAATCTCTGGGTAGCTCTAGGGATAGACACCGGGCAGACTCCCCACCACCTGCATGGCCACCGCCTTGGCCCTAGCCCTCTCCAGATCTGCTCCCTCCTCTTCCTGCCACGGTCTGCTAGTCACTTTGTGGCTGTGCAGAGAACAATGAAGAGAAGGGAAACCCTCGGAGACCCCATCTTAGTTGGGATAAAACCTAAAGGGAAAACAAAATACAATCCAGTGACCCACAAGTTAGAGAAGAACTGTGGATACCAGGCTCTGGTAACTCACAGCCATGGCTGTCACCAGCCCGGCCTACAGATGAATGCAGAGGCTATCACCAGCCTGGCTGGCTGGAGGGCCCACCTTCACTGCCAAACTAACAGCTGAAGGAAAAGAGGAGTCACCGCTGTCAGCCATGTAGCAACTGGTGACCCACCAGGCCCAACTTAAGAGTCCTAATTCAATGGTCACACAGACGGCCCTGGCTAAACTAAATGGTCACAAAACCAAACCAAAAGTTGTAGGTTTAGAAAAAGCCATTGGTGTGTGTGGGGGGCGGGGAGGAAATTAGAGAAAGTAAGGGGCTGGGTGATGCAGGAGCATGACCTTAATCCCAGCACTCAGAGGCAGAGGCAGGCGGATCTCTGTGGAGTTTGAGGCCAGCCTGGTCTACAGAACGAGTTTCAGGACAGCCAGGGCTACACAGAGAAACCCTGTCTGGAGAAACCAAGAGCCAGGGGACAGAGTAATCCAGATGCATTCTATACAAGTATGAGATTGTCAAAGAACAATTTCAAAGGGAAACTTTATTAAAGTACGTGACGGGAAAATCCACATGTGTCTCAAGGGTCCTCCAGGGATGACTGACTTCAGTGAGTTAGAATGTTATGGATTGGCAGCCATATTACCTTGGGCTATTTTTAGCTTCCCTGATGGCCTTGCAAGGTCCGCTTCTGTGTCCGCTCTAGCATCTTGGTGACTGCTAGCAAATCTTTTAGAATGTGCTGGCCGGAGCTAAGGGGAGCATCCCTCTACCCAGCCCCAGACCTGGATCCCGTCTCAGTTACCTCGTCGTATGAACGTGCTCCCTGCCGCTGCCTGGGTCCACCACCACCACCCAGCTGAAAAAGTATTTTTATTTATTTTAAAATTTTTATGTGTATGGATGATAGGCCTGGATGTAGGTCTGTGAATCATGTGGGTACCTGGTACCCAGAAAGGCCAGAAGAGAATGCTGGGTCCTCTGGTACTCAAATTAAAGGCAGTTGCAAGCCACCATGAGGGTGCTGGGAACAAACCTGGGTCTTCTGCAACAGCAGTCAGTGCTCCTAACTACTGAGCCATCTCTAGTCCCATCATCTTTCTTTCTTCCTCCCTCCCTCCCTTCCATCCCCCCCGCAAGATTTATTTTATTGCCAGACATGATGGCCACACCTTTAACCCCAGCAATTCAGGAGATGCAGGCAGACAGATCTCTATGAGTTTCAGACCAGTCATTGCTATAGAGTGAGATCTGTCTTGTTTTTGTTTTAAGATTCATTTTCTTTTTATGTTTGTGAGCATTGTGCTTGCATGTATGTATGTTACCACATATGTACAGTGCCCGAACAGACCAGAAATGGGCAGTTTGTCCCCTGGAACTGGGAAGACAGGCAGCTGAGAACAGGCTGATGTGAGTGCTGGGGACTGGGCCTCGGTCCTCTAAAGAACAGCAATGCTCTTCACCACCGAGGCATTTCTCCAGTCCTTACTAGTGTGTGTGTGTGTGTGTGTGTGTGTGTGTGTG